TAACTTTTTTCAATATTATTGAACTATTGAATGATAAGATATGTGAATTCTATGTCAATAAAACTGTTAGTAAGAAAAAAAAAAGTAAAGCAATAACCTGCAGATTTGAAGAAAACTTTTGGGAACCATATATCTAATTAGGTTTTAATATCCAAAACACATAAAGAACGCCTCTCAAAAACAACAAAAAAAGACAAACAACACAATTTGTTAAATGAGCAAAGGACTGACATAGCCAGTTCTCTGAAGAAGATATGAAAATGACCAAAAGCACATGGAAAGATGATCAAAATCAGTAGTCATTAAGGAAAACAAATCAAAACCAAAATTAAATACTGCTTCATATCTACTAGGATGACTATTAATAGAGAAATAGAAAACAAGTGTTAGTGAGGATATGTAAACAAAAATGGAATCCTTATTCATTGCTGAAGGAAATGTAAAATGGTGCAGCCACTTATAGAAAACAGTTTGGCGGTTCCTCTAAAAGTTAACATTATTTTTAACACACGATCTAGCAATTCCTAACATGAGCAGATACCTAAAAGAATAAAAACCATGTCAACCAATATTTGTGCACCAATGTTCACTGCAGCATTATCCAAAATAGTCAAAAAGTGGAAAATCAAGGGTTCATCAAGAGATGAATGGATAAATAAATGAGGTATATATAAATGGAATATCATTCAGCCATGAAGGGGGGAAAAGTTCTGATACATGAAACAATATAGATGACCTATGAAACAACATATTCACTTCTGACTCATGTTGTCCTTGTGTGTGTAAGAGTAAAACTGTGCTCCAAGGTTCTTTTGTACAGACACGACCTTTAACCTTTTAGTTAGTAGCCCAGCACCTTACCTTTTGTACTTCCTACATGGTCATTTCCTGTAGATAGTCGTTAGTCCTGGCTATACTGTTCAGTAGCATACCCTCTGACCGCACCATCCTCACAATGAGAGAGAATCTTGAGGATTTCAATAGCAAGTAAGAGATAATTAAGCCCTAATAGGGCTACCTGCACACTTAACCATTATTTAAAGAATGAGTTTGTAAATTACCAAGATCTCATGGGCAAGGCAGCCACAGTTTTCATCTCCTGTTGTAACATAATTCAGTGATTCTTTAACAAACTCATTGGCAGTCTTGGTTATTATGTTAGGATTTAGATGCTTTGTCATCGAGGTTGATATCGCATATGGGGTCAGCACCTACAATGGTAAACAAAAACAGTTACCTAGCAGCAGTCCATTACTGAGGAAGACCCTGAGCAACAATCGCCCCACTCTGCAGCTTTTTTCTCCCTGTCAAAACTCTCATAATTTTGATTGTAATCATTTTCATGATTACAAAGCAATGAAAAAGGACAGAGCTTGGAATCCAAAAGCTTGGTTTCAGATTTTGACTTTGTTATGAGGACATAAACACATCAAGGTGACCCAATGGCACTCCCCCAGCAAGAACACAAGGTGACTGTAAGGAGGTGAGTATCTCTCATCATGTGCCATATTCAGCAAATAAAAATATAATGCACTCGGTTAAATTGAATTTCAGATTAACCACAAGTATTTTTTAAATATAAGTATGTCCCAAGTATTGGATAGGATGTATTTTTGCTAAAATAAAAGTTATTTATTATTTATATGAAATTCAAATTTAACTGGAATTTCTGTATTTTATTTGTCAATCCTATCTCAGAAGTTTATTTCTAAGATCTATAACCAAGGTTGTAGCAATTTAAAGAACTTTGGATTCCTACTTTCAAGCTTCAGTTAGCAACCAAGAGTGGCAAATAATCACTCGATTGTTGTAAGAAAATAAGCAATGATACATCATGCCATGAAAATCCAACACTGTGTTTACACCTGGGGTCTAGCTAAAACTATGGCGTGACATGAGAATTCCTAATGGAATTCTATTACTTTTTTCCCAGACAAAAAGCAGTTGGCATCTTTAGAAAGAAAAATATACATACTAGTTTCTTAGTTTTACTTTGCTTCACCTCACACTTGAAATTTACTTCACATTGCATTTGAAATTACATTGCATCATGATTGAATCCTTTCTTTTAAAAAAATTTATTGAGAGCTCTTACAGATATTATAACAATCCATAATTCAATTAGATCAAGCACAATAGTACAATTGCTGCCACCATCTGTTTCAAACATTTTCTTTCTTCTTGAACTCTGCTATCAGTTCCCCTTTATCCCCTCCCACCCTCATCTAGCCCCCAATAAACCCTTATTTTATATATATACATACACATGTATATATATATATTATATATATACATACACATGTATATATATATAAATATACACACATATATATTGCTGCATCTTACACCATCCAATATATCCTTTCACCCACAATTCTGTTATTCATTCCCCTCTAGTTGAATTATACAGTCATCATTGCTATAGGTCCCCCCTTCCTGCCCTTCTCTTCCTGTACCCTGGGGGAATCATTATTCTCATTACTATTTCTAAAGGGTTAATCTATCTTGGATTTGATGCATTGAATGATCTTAATTATACAAATGAATATACAAAGGTCTAACAAGAATAATTAGGTAAAACTGAGACCATAATAGGGAAGGAAATATTAAAGAAATAGAGGATAGGTATGTGTTTTATCAATGCTATACTGCACCCTGAATATATCATCCCTCCATGTGACCCTTCTGTAAGGGACTGTCCAATTATCTTACAGGTGGGTTTTGGGTCTCTACCTTGTCTATGCTCCTTGATGTCAATCTGATTGCTTGTTTTGAACTTCTGATACCTATTCTCATCAACACCTCATGAACACACAGGCTGGCATGCTTCTTCCATGTAGGTTTTGATGCTACCCTGCTAGATGGCCACTTGTTTAACTTCAAGCCTTTAAGACCCCAGATGCTATATGTGTTAGACAGGGTTCTCTAGAGAAACAAATCCAGGACATTTATGATTTTATATGTATATAAGAAGATAGATATATACAGCATGAAAGAATATAACAGCTCATTAGTCCACACAACAGTACAGAGGGCTCAGTGCAACCTACTTCCATGGAATAGTTAACATACTGGAAGTCCTTCAACTCACAAGGACTGCTGGGTCCAAGGTCAAGTAAGCAGACAGCTGAGTCTTCTGTAGAGCAATACAGGCAGTCCAGCCACAAGCAGCAAACAGCAAGGTGAGTCAACCAACAGTCAGCCAGAAAACAGGATCTGACAGTCCCAAGCTCAAGCGATGTATACACCAGCAGTGTAGTGAAGCAGGTCTCAAAGGAACCCCAGCTCTAGTGGCATGATCCACGGGTTGGGTCTCCCATAGGTAGTATAGCTTACAAGTTGAGGCAGAGAACTAGCTAAGGCAACCATTTGCTAGACCAATCACCAGATAGCAAGAGAGAGAAAGGCAGGGCTCACTGAGCCATTTATCTCTTTGCCCTCCAATCAAACGGTGACCTTATTAATCCCACATGTTCTTATTGGCCAGGTTGGCACAATAAACCTACCTATCACACTATATCTTTTAATAGATGGACACCATCATGATTTAACAAAGAGATACTCATCTACTCTGGGTCAGGACAACAGTTAGACCTGGAGCTTTTCATATGGTCTCTCTTCCTCAGTCCAATGTCCTTTTCTTTCAGGGATCCATATCCCAGGACCAGCTTACCTAACATCCTTACCTTTCAGTCCTCAGTATATATGTCCAAGTGGCACACCTTCTACAAGAGCCCATTGCTCTTCCTGCAGTCAAGAATGGAGCAGTCTAGTGCCCCAACCCATTACACCTTCAGACTTTCAGTGTGGCCCCCTTGTGAATGCCCCCCAACCAGTTCAGATGAGGTGCTAGGCGCTGTCCTCCAGTCAGAAGTCAACAATCTAAATTCCTCAGAGACTCCGTGGCCTGTTGCACTCCCCTCTTGGTTTCCCCCATGTGGGCAAGTCAGACCAGCCGCACTCCCTGAACTCTATATTCAGTCCTGTCCTCTGTAGCACTGTCATCTACCATAGGGAGGTCAAGTTGTCTAATTGTAGAGTTTAGTTTTGAAGCCTCCTTTTTTAGTTTCTTTTTCACTGATCTATCCATCTTGGAGAGTGGTGTATGGAAGTCTACTATGATTGTCAATCTGTGATTTTTTATGTTTTTTTTTTTATCTTTTGAAGGATGTGACATACTTCATGAGTCTCTCATTGGGTGCATATATGTTTATTATGCTCAATGGCTATTGGTCTACTGATCACTTAAGCATTATATAATGCCCATATTTATCTCTTATTATGTCCTGCGCCTTGAAATTGATTTTGTCAGAAACTACATTTGCAACTCCTGCCTTTTTTTTTAGATTGCCATTAGCTTGATATACCTCCCACCAACCTTTAATCCTCAACCTAGTTTTGTCTATGAACTTGAGATATGTCTCTTGCAAACAAAAGATTGCTATGTTTTGTTTCCTAATCCAGTCAGCTAGCCTTTGTCTTCTGATGGGGGAATTCAGACCATTGATGTTGAGATGCAATGGTTCTCAAACTGTGGGTCGCGACCCCTTTGGGGGTCAAATGACTCTTTCACAAGGGTTGCCTGATTCATAGCAGTAGCAAAATTACAGTTATGAAGTAGCAATGAAAATAATTTTATGGTGTCTGTTGTAGCTGAAAGAGCTGTATTCTTGTGATTGAGTTTGAGTCTTGTGATATGGTTTTTGATGGAGGCCTCAGATTTTAGCTCCTGGTGGTTTTTCCTGTTTTGCTATGTTTAAGCTTTGATAATGAACCAGATGTGTGGTGGCTTAGATTCAAAGCTACGGAAAGCAACACAGCTTCAGAATGACCTCATTTTTTAAGTGTTTTTTGTTTGTTTGTTTGTTTGTTTGTTTGTTTGTTTGTTCGGGAGCTTGTAGGGTGACCTGGTATTGGGACCGTGCCACACTGTACCCCAAGAAGGGGGATTAGATTGACTGAGTGGGTTTGGGACTCACTGGGTCTGAGTTTTCCCAGCTGCTCTCCTGGCTCACTCCAGGCTCACTCCTGTTGGGCTATATAGGCTGTGCTCCAGGGATTGGCAATCTGCCATGGGCAGCAAATTAGTGTCTAATAATCTATCATTACCCATGCTGGCAGGCCATTCATGAAGCTTGGGAGAAGAGGAAAGGGGGTGGCCGATGTACAAAGCCCAGGCATACATGAGAGAGAAGATCACCAATGTGAACGCTTGTGGCTAATTTTCAGATGCTTTCCATCATCCTGGAATTATGATCACCCTTAACAGCAGCCTGAGGAAATTACTGCACACTGGCGGGTTTTGGATCTCAGGCACAGGATGGGGTAGCAGACAACATCCCACTGAACCTGGCAAGGAGTGTGGTGATCCCACAGGCAGACATGGTGAACTTAGAGTGTCATAGTGAGCCCTCGAATCACTCCCTGGGCAAAAATTGCAAGGAGAGGGCTGAACCACAAACCCTAATACAGTGGGATTCTATTTCTAGCACCTGGCCCCCTTACATCTTAATTTTCTGATCTAACAATGGAAGCACTGGGCAGTTGATTCTACCTTGACACCATCTTGAGACTGACCGCTCCCTTTCTTATGAAAATTAGTATTATTAATTTTCATGTCAACTGTCTTTTACAGATGTCAACGTGTTGTTTTATATGTAAAGAACATGAATTCTCAATCCCAGCCTCTATATACTATACTACTCTCTACCATTGAGTCAATTCTGACTCAGAGTGGCCCAATAGAACAGTGCAGAACTGTCTTTGCTGGTTTCCAAGACTGTAAATCCTTATAGGATTGAAAAGCCCCATCTATCTCTCATGAAGAAGCTGGTACTTTCAAGCTGCTGGTTTGAGATTAGCAGCCCAACACATAACCCTAACCACTCACCATCAATGTTCCTCTAATCTTCAGAAAAGGGAAAAGGAATTATTATTTTTAGTTCGATAGTAAACTTTGGTTGACAGAATAGCTTGATGTACAATATGTTACTGCTGCTGCTGCTGCTGTTGTTGTTGTTGGGTGCCACTGAGTCAGATAACTCATAGCCACCCTGAGTACAATAGAACAAAATGGTAGCTTGTCCTTTGCCATCTTCAGTATTGTCGCCATATTTGAGTCCATTGTATCAGTCACTGTACCAACCATGTCATCAAAGGTCTTGCTCTTCTTCACTATCCAATTATGATATCCTCTTCCGGGAGCCAGCCTTTCCTGATAACGTGTCCAAAATATGTGCTATGAAATCTCATATCCTCACTTCTAAGGACAATTCTGGTTGTACTTCTTCCAAGATATTTTTATTTGTTTTTCTGGCAGTCCACAAACTTTCAATAGTCCTTACCAAATCATAATTCAAATGCATCCTTTTCTAGTCTTCCCTAAAGACACTGCCACTTGAGTGCTGGAATGCTAATTGTCAGAGTGACAGTTCAAACCCACCAGCTGATCTGCAGGAGAAAGTGGACTCTATCTGCTCCCATAAAGGTTACAGCCTCAGAAACCTTACAGGGTCCCTATATGGTTGTAATTCACTCGATGGCAATGGAGTTTCATCCCTCCTTACTCATTATCCACTTTTCACATGCATATGAGTAGCAATTGAAAATGGGTCAAGCATAAATTAGTCCTCAAAGTGACATGTTTTCTGTTTAATACTTTAAAGTGGCTTTGTGCAGATTTGCCCAGTACAATAAATCAATAGACTTCTTCACTGTTGCTTCCATGAGTGTTGATTGTGGATCCAAATAAAATTAAATCCTTGAGAACTTCAAAGTTTCCCTACATTTGTCATTCTGTTGTCTATTGGTCCAGTTGTAAGGATTTAGATTTACTTTACACTGAGTTGCAATTGATACTGAAGGCTGCATGCAGTCTTTGATTTTCATCAGCAAGTATCAGTGCTTCAAGTTCTCCTTGCTTCCAGTAAACAAAGTTGTATCACCTGCATATTACAGGTTGTTAACAAACCTTCCTCCAATCCTGATGTTGTATTCTTTTTCATATGGCCCAGATGCTCAAATTATTTGTTCAACATAGAGATTGACTAAGCACTATGAAAGGATACAACCCTGATGCATACCTTTCTTGATTTCAAACCACCTGGTATCCCCTCATTTTGTTCAAACAGCCGCCTCTTAGTCTATTTACAAGTTTCATATGAGCTCAAATAAACCAAACCAAACCAAACTCACAGCCATCAAGCAGATTCTAACTCATAGAAACCCTACAGGACAGAGTAGAAAGATGAGGCTGTCTGCTTCCATAAAGGTCTGCCACCTTGGAAACCCAAAGGGACAGTGATGGATCTTGAATGCTGACCTTGATTTAAGCCACCTACAGCATAACTCACTATTCCATCAATGATCCTTCAGGTGTTCTAGAATTCCTGTTCTTCCCAATATTGCCCATTGTGTTAGTCCGGGTAGACCAGAGAAACAAATTCATAAACCTGCACATGTATCTAAGAAAGAAGTTTATATATGAGTAATTGAATATTGGGAAAACATCCCAGCCCATGCCAGATCAAGTCCATAAGTCCAATATTAGCCCATATGTCCAATACCAAACTTATAAAGTCCTCATCAGACTCACAAAACACATACAATGACACCAAATGCAGGACAATCACAGGCCAGTGGGTAGAAAGCTTTTCGATTCAGTGGCATTTGTAAGCATCTCAGCGCTGGCAGGGGTTTCCACGTGGCTTCTCCAGCTTCGAGGACTGTATCAGGGTAGGTCCATGTGGCTTCTTCTCGGGATGCCTTGCAGGGAGTCCACAGAGTGAGAAAGTGTCTACCTTCTCCAAGGAGGAAAATCCAGATTTCCCAGAATTCTCGGGAGAAAGCCATGCCCACACAGAAGCCTCATTGACTATGATCTGATTGACAGACTAAACTTCAATTTAATCTTAATCTTAATCTTAAATTATCAAATTGACAAACAATTATATAACTACACACCCATAGTTTGTTATGATGCACATTGTTGAATACTGTTACACAATCAATAAAATACATTTTTTCCTGGTATTCTCTGCTTTCAGCAAAGATCTGACATCAGGAATATTCCTCTCTCCATGTCCCTTTCAGAAACAGCTTGCATTTCTGGCAGCTCCCTGTCAATATACAGCTACAGACATTTTTTAATTATCTTAAACAAAATTGAAGTTGCATGTGACATTGTTTGACAATTTCCACATGCTTCTGAAATGGGCACAGATCTGAATATCTTCCAGTCTGTTGGCCTGGGGGCTATTTTCCAAATGTCTTAGCACATAGACCAGTAGGTGCCTTTAGTGCTGCATTGTTGAGACATTTTAATTGGTATTCAGTCAGTATGTGCAAAAGAAGGACTGAATAAATATTGGTTAAATTTCCCTGCTTATTTTTTCATTTAACAGTTTTATTAAACATTGAGGCCACTCCATGTGTGTAAGAGCAGAGCTGTGCTCTATGGGGTTTCTCTGCACTTTTTCCCCTGTGGTATAAACTTTTAATTCATGGAATTATTATCATTAAATTAAATGTTAATAAATTCAATTTAAGGAACTTTACATGTTTTCTTTCATTCTGCTTCCATCAATAGTTCCTCCAAAGCTTGTATTAATAGTTCCTCCCAAACTTATATCTTCAAGATAACCCTTTTACAAAACACCTAGGCTAATCCACTACCATTCAGGCAATATACAAGAGATCCTCAAATAGTAATAAGAAAGCTATGACTTTGATTGACTGTATTATCTAGTAGCCATTTATCACATCAGAACTTGAAGACTGTCACAATCTTCTTTTAGTTATACTGTTCTAATCTCAATTAAATATGGTTATATGGACATACTAATGGCATATGTCAACATTCCTTGCCTGGGATTTCTTCAAATTATTCAGTGCAGGGCCATTTTAGGGCCTAAATAGGTAGATTTTGCCTTAGAATATAATTTATCACATCCTCTATCATAAGGTGTTGAGATCCAATGCACTCCCAAGAAAAAACACATATCTATAATATATACCAGTACCTAAGGTTATTACAATCTAACTATTAGATCTTTCATACTACCAGCATCTTTCTGTCTTATAGATCCTTTTTATAATCCCATAGTTCAGAGAAACTGAAGCTAACCGTGTTTAAGTAGTCTACCCAGGATCACTCAGATGATAAATGGAACAGTTAGAATTTGAAAATCAAACCTTAGTACATACTTCCTCATTCATTTAACAAATGCTTATTGAACAACAATTATGTGTGTTTTAAGAAGTATCCAGTATTTGGGGGTTTTTTGGTTTTTTTTAAAGTCAGAGTATTATGTAGCCTTCTCATACCTGCTTGGAGAGCAGCTTCAAAACTTCTACATCAAGGGAAAAACCTTTCCCTTTCCCTCCTTCTCATCTCCTCTCAACCCTGTTGCTCTATCAACATGGCAGCTACGGCATCTTCTGTTCACATTTACTGAAATCAAGACAGTGTTATGAGTATTATATGAATAGGAAGTAGATAGATCTGGGAGTCACTGGGGTTCACCATACCAGATCTGTAGTTCCTGAGCCCCTGTGGTACAAGCACATGACTAGAACTGGTAAGGAATTATGGGCAGAAGTGACAAGTGTCATTTCTGGCCCAGAGCACTTAATTGTCAATTGTCCATAGAATCCCTACTTTTCCTCTACCATATTAATTCACAATATCCAAGATGGTGGAATATAGTTTCTGCATCACTATAATAAAGTTACCCCCTCTGCCGACTCATAGTGAAATGGCAGAATGAATGAGAAATATGATCTTGTCTTGAGTCCCTGGGAAGTTTAGGATTGTTCATTACTACAACAAGCTAAGCCAATTCAAACTAACACTAGTGCAAAAAGAAACCATCTTCAGCTGGCAACCTGAGGATGGGTGGCATCGGATCCAATGAAAACCAAACCCACTGCCCCTGAGTCCATTCTTCCTCAATGACCCTCCAGAGGTTTGCTGTGGCTGTCAGTGTTTATTGGAGAAGACTCTTCTCTCTCCCAGGAAATATCAGGTGGGTTTGAACCAAAGGAGGGAGACATCTCTGACGGGTGAAATTTTGTTTTAGCAAGAGGAGAAAGAACTCTTATATAGTGAATGGTATAGCCATTACATCATTCAAGGTTGTTATTTGCAAAATGTCAGTCATTAATACTTGCCTATTTAATAAAGTTAATCTCTTTTTGGTTAAAGAAGCAGCTGCCTAAGATACTCTCATCTGAGCATGTTTTGTGTGTGGTACATATATAACCTTTTGTTTGTTTGATTGCCTTTTCAAGTTCCTTTATATGTATAATTCAGTAACAGTTGTGTCACACTATGTCATTAGTTAAGAAAACCAGTATGGGCAATAATAAACTTTTAAATATAACTTCAGGGGTACCCTTTTTATTTCTAACAGCCTGTCTTGAAACTTCTTCCCAAATAACAAAACAAACAAAAGACTTTATCTAAATTGCATATTCTAGGTTCCAAATATCACTTAACTCTAACTCTGCTATTAAAGCAAGCGCATGTAAATCACTGGCACTCAGAGACATCATATTGCTCAACCCACGGGTGGCAGGGGCAGGCCATTACAGTGAGGACAAGGCGATTTTCATGGCAGTTCTCTGCTCCTCCTAGTAAAAAGAGGGGAGCTCTCATTCCTTATCACACAAGAACCAGAGTGTGGGGGCACACAGTCCCAAAGGCGCGCGCACACACACACACACACACACACACACACACACACACACACACACACACACACGTGCATCTAGTTAGAGTACCTTCTGCTCTTTACAACAGAGACGGGGCCCAGTTTTCTTTTTTCCCTGCTCCAAACCGCGACCTCCAATACTGGGGTCAAAGATAAAGGATGATGAGTGTAGACCCCAATTTCACTTCTGAGGCAGCATCAGGGATTCTGGGAGTCAACAGGACCTATGAGTACTCACTCACCTGGCCCCATTTTCCTCATCAGCATCCAGACCAAGGCTGAGCAATGGCCACAGCCAGGACTGCAGGGGCTGCATGTGCCACCCTGGTAGCCACAGAAACTCACACGGGCATGACTACCTGCTCACCCACCCACCAGTCCTGCCGGAGGCAGGGGCCCCAGCTCCATCGGAATCTAGTTCCTATTCCCAAGAACTTCAGAACTATTGACCTCACCTGTATAAGGATTCCTTTTCCTTTATATTCTGCTTGGAGTGCCTTGGAAAACGTGCACACAAAAGCCTGGATAAAGAAGAGAAAGATACCTCAGAAACAAAGACTTGCTTCTCCTCTCAGAGCTGATTTACTCAGATTTCAAAGGACACCACAAAGGCTTACCTGCCCCACCTTCAAACGCAGTCATTTGTCTTAATGGGAGCCAGTACTTCATTTCTACCAAGGTATTTCCCCTGCCTTTGTCTAAAAGGGTTCCTTCAGTGAATGAGAACATATATTTTGCAACAATGCGTATCTGGAGTCACTATAGGGAGCCAAGAAAAACCTCTTTAACATAATAGGTCACCATGCGTGGCAGGTAATAGCAACAATGGGGACACTACATACAAATTAACCTACCCAGCGGAAGCTCTCTCTGGTCTAAAGCACATCTACTCTTTCTGATTCCCTCTCCACTAGGGTTTCTTTTAAGAAGCAGGCACAGAGGCACCAGACGAGGCCTCCGGGGCCGGAAGGAAGCTACAATTTTACTTGTTAGCAGGAAAACACCAAGAGTTTCCATTCAAGGAGGTGAACAGGGTCTGGGGTCCCTAAGAGGCTGAGCTTGCTAAGCATCACTGCTGCAGGGCTTCATCTTCCCAGAGGGGGGCGTCTTTCTTAAGTTACCCCAAGATCCTCCTGGCTCCTCTGCCTTGTTTCATTGAGCGTCATTACTTCAACTTCACTTTACTGTACTTCACAAGTGTTAGACTTTTTACAAACGGAAGGCTTGCGGCAACTCTACATCAAGCCAGTTTGTCAGCGCCCTTTTGCCAACCGCGTGTGCTTGCTCACCTGTGTCTCTGGGTCACATTTTGGTAATTCCCCTAACATTTCAAACTTTTTTACAATGTTATTACACACTTAATATTGACTATCAAAATCCGCTACCATAGAATCCATTATGATTCATAGTGATCCTATAGAGCAGCGGTTCTCAATCTGTGGGTCGCGACCCCTTTGGAGATCGAACAACCTTTTCTTTTCTTCTCTTTTTTAATCATTTTATTAGGGATTCATACAACTCTTATCACAATCCATACATACATCAATTGTGTAAAGCACATTTGTACATTCATTGCCCTCATCATTCTCAAAACATTTCCTCTCCTCTTAAGCCCCTGGCATCAGCTCCTCATTTTTCTCCTCCCTCCCCGCTCCCCCCTCCCTCATGAGCCCTTGATAATTTATAAATTATTATTTTGTCATATCTTGCCCTGTCTGACGTCTCCCTTCACTCACTTTTCTGTTGGCTGTCCCCCAGGAAGGAGGTCACATATAGTTCCTTGTAATCAGTTCCCTCTTTCCAACCCACTCTCCCTCTACCCTCCCAGTGTCGCCACTCACACCACTGGTCCTGAAGGGATCTTCTGCCCTGGATTCCCTGTGTTTCCAGTTCCTATCTGTACCAGTGTACATCCTCTGGTCTAGCCAGACTTGCAAGGTAGAATTCGCATCATGATAGTGGGGGCAGGGAGGAAACATTTAGGAACCAGAGGAAAGTTGTATTTTTCATCGTTGCTACATTGCATCCTGACTGGCTCATCTCCTCCCCGAGACCCCTCTGCAAGGGGATCTCCAGTGGCCTACAAATGGGCTTTGGGTCTCCACTCCGCACTCCCCCCATCATTCACTATGGTAAGATTTTTTGTTCTGATGATGCCTTATACCCGATCCCTTCGACACCTCATGGTTGCGTAGGCTGGTGTGCTTCTTCCATGTGGGCTTTGTTGCTTCTGAGCTTGATGGCCGCTTGTTTACCCGAACCTTTTCACAGGAGTCACCCGATTCATAACAGTAGCAAAATTACAGTTATGAAGTAGCAATGAAAGCAATTGTATTGTTGGGGGTCACCACCCCATGAGGAGCTTTATTGAAGGGCCGCGGCCTGAGGAAGGTTGGGAACTCCTGCCATAGAGGGTTTTCTAGCTGGAAATCTTTACAGGACCAGATAGCTTCCTTTTTCCTCTGTGGAGTGGCTGGTAGGTTGGCATCTCAGGGTTAGCAGTCCAATGCATACCTTATAGCATCACCAGGGTGCCTTAACCTCTTATAGTATAATGTAAACATAACTTTTATATGCACTGGGAAGAAAAGAATATGTGATTCACTTTGCTATGATGCTTCATTTATTAAGATGATCTGAAACAGAATTCTCAATATCTCTGGGACACGCCTGTGTAAGAGTATCTCCACGCAAATCTTTGCATAAATTTGCCAGATAACGTAAAGGGGAATGGCAGCTAGGAATGCCAAGGAGGAAAAAGGAGGAGGGGGCTTGGATTTCATGCTGTCACCCACCTTGGAAGCTGAGTACATGGAGTACAGAGGCCAAGGAAAGAGAGCTGCTCCAGAAGAAATGTTCAAAATGAGTCCTTTGCGCCTAAAGGTACAAATAAGCAAACAGTCTATTGGTTTGCGGCAGATTACCACCTTGTGTAGAAAGAAAGCACAGATACTCATGTGAACTCCATGGAAACTCTTTCTCTCGAAATCATTGAGTATGCAAAGTGCTCTCACTGCATCCCCAAACTGTGAGTGGAACTTCCCTATGTCAGCAGTTAGATAATACAATAGGCGAGCTGACATCAGGGGTGGGGTAATGACAACTTCAGGATGTTGTCACTCTTGGTATTCCTTTGCACAATAAGGGTTTCTTACTAGAAAGAGAGGCCCCTACAACAAAGATTTCCTCCCCCAAATACAGACAGCCAACTTCGCCTGAACAAGACTTAGGAGGAATTCTCTGTCAGACACATCTACATGGGCTTGAATACTCCTTCTGATTCATAAGATAACTCACAGCAGCACAGCCGACCTATGGTAGAACGCGGCCCTCCCTGGTATTGTGACCTCTCATTTGCTCATGCCAGCACTCTTATACAAAGTCTTCAAGACTTTTGAAGTTCAAAGTCTTTCAGCCTTCCAATTAAAAAAAGCAAAACATAAAAAATCCTCACTGCCATTGGGTTGATTCTGACTC